CAAGAAGTGGCAATCAGATAGGTTTCCTGGTTTACAGTGTGAATGTCTTGGGTGATTTTTCTGAGTAGTCACGTAGCAACAGGTACAAAATTGATCATGCGTGAGCTGTTGTGATTATTTCTTTGACGTTTATTTTAAGTTGTCCAGTTTTAGCTTGCATGGCTTTGGAAAAGGACAATTTTAGTTTCCAAGTCAAAATAGTGGGAAAAAATCAGAAATGTTTGTTTGGAGAGTTCCAGCCAAATATTTGAGAAACTAGAAGAATTCAGTTTCCTTTCTGGTTGATAGATAGAAAACAAAACCTCAAAGAATTAACAGCACTAGAATTTACTCTTCACAAAGATGTGTTACTAAGATCCAATTTTTTTTCTCTATAATTGTCCCCCTTTTTATCAAAGATAATCACAGTAAGACTAATTTGTTTGCAAAGTAAGTCTCATTTCAATAAACTTGGCCTGATTATTTATATAAGTGCAGCAAGAATAGTGACTGAATACATTGGCTATTTTGAATCTGCTACACTGGAACCTTTCGTAAGAAATCTCAGATTAAACTTTCAAAAGCCTCTCACGGCCAGGAAACAAAACAAGGACTCATCCAACTGTGTACTATTACAAGGAGATTAGATTCTTAGTGAACACAGGCAAATGCATACATTGTCATGAAAATTAAGAATACTTAATAAGAGTTCCTGAATTCTGGAGGAATCAGGTAAGGAAAAAAAATTTAATGTTTTAACCTTTGTTGCGAAGATATACTTTACCAAATTGTTTTAAGTTATAGATAGGTAACTTTAAAGAGAGGAGAAAAAGGGGGCCTTTGAATCTCTAATAAAACAAAATATTAAAGAAGCAGTGATGCTTTAAATGAAGTCATAAAAAGTATAATCTTCCTCATCAGTTCATTTAGTATCTTGTAATTAATTCTTGTTGGTTTTGATCTTTTGTTAGCAGTTTTATGAATTCATCAGTTTTCCATCAGAGTTTTAGAAATTCTTACTCAAGTTCAGTGTTATGATCGTAAAACTATCAGAAACCTGCATTCTAAAGTACTTGTCAGGGTTTTCTCCATGAATTTCTTTGAAGATAAAGCATTTTGCAAGAACCCTTTTGCAAAAGCATCAGGGTAAAATAATAACCATTGGCAAATGACAAAAACTTAAAAGTAGCCATGGTTAAAGATCTAATGAAAGTTCACATATAGGCATATACACAAATAACTGACAAATAAATTCGGTTATTTCTGTGAAACACGTTTTAAAATGATGACTGATAACATATCAGGACTTTAGGAATTTCATATAATTTCTAGAACACTTATATAACTATACAAATACAACATAAAGAAAGCCTGGTATCACTTAATTGACAATAGTTCTCATATAATTTAACATATCAAATAAGCCTAATCAGTGTAACATTTCCTTTAAAAGGAGAGAAAACAAATCTTTTGAGATGTTCCAGGGGCCTTCTGGAATACCCCAACTTGCTTCTGGGTCAAAAAGACTCCCAATTTATAATTTGATTTTGAGAAATGTGTCAAAAATCTTAAAACCATTTGACACCGGTCAAGTTGTTCTCGAAAAATAAACTAAGTTTTAGTTGCATGCCTAAACTGGTATATTTTTTGCCCTTGGAATTTTCAAGGCTAATCCCTGTTTGTTTTTTATTTTAACAACATGAATTTTAGGATAGATTTTTCTATTTCTGAAAAAACAGCATTGAGATTTTGATAGGTATTGTGCTGAATCTGTAGATCAGTTTGGGAAGTACTAACATCTTAACATTAAGCTTTCCAATCTATGTACATGGGATATCTTTTTGTTTATTTATGTCTTTAATTTCTTTCAGCTGTGTTTTAGTTTCAGCATACAAGTCTTTCACCTTCTTGGTTAACTTAATTTCTAAATATTTTATTCTTTTTGATGTTATTATAAATGAAATTTCCTTTTTGCATTGTTCACTGTAGGTGTATAGAAATGCAATTGACTTTAGTGCGTCCTGTCATTTTGCTGAATTCTTTTATTAGTTCTAACAGGTGTGTGTGTGTGTGTGTGTGTGTGTAATCGTTAGTTTTCTACATATAGGATTATATCATCTGTGAACAGACATAATTTTACTTCTTTCTTTCCAATTTGGATGCCTTTTATTTCTTGCTTAATGTCACTGCAGCATTCAAGACATGCTGAGGATCCTAATGGGGAAGGGGAATGTGAGAAATGGTTAGACTTGGGAGATATTTTGCAAGTAGAACAAATAGAGTTATCGGCTTGGATGTTGGCTCTGGGAGAAAGAGAAGCTAAGGACGATCTCTAGGTTTATGATTGGATTGGCTGGCTGAATCACTGTGGTGCCATTTGATTAGATGGAGTATATGGGGGAGTGTGCACTGGGGAGGGGAAGTTTCAGCATATTAAATTTGGCCATGGGTGTGGATAGCATAGATAAATACAAGAGAAGATGATGAGAAGAGGTCAGAAGACAGAATTTTGGGGCAAGCTCACACTTAGAAAAAGGACAGAAGAAGAGTAATCAGAAAGGGTAGCAAATAGGAAACAATCTACGGGGTAGAAAAAGAACCAGGGGAGTCAGAGGAACAAGGAGGGTAAAGTTTCAAGAATCTGGCAGTGGCTAACTGTGCAAAACAAATTGAGGAAAGAAGACGAGGACTGAGAAAGGACCTTTTACATGAACAAAGATGATGCCACTGATAACTCTGGACAACATTTTCAGCAGAATGGGTACGGCCTCCGCCCATGTGCAAGTAGGTTGAAAAAGCACGTGGATGATGGAAATTGCTCTAAACAGCTCTGAAGTGCTGTACATATAAGGTGGTGTTGATTTCAGTGTTGTCAGGGAAACAAAAATCATTCAGGGGAACTAAAAGTCACTTAAAACCTCTGACTCTAGCCCATCACATCCCTTGATCTGTTGTGAAAGATGCTGATAAAAACAGTCATTAGAGGGGCAGGGCTAATTCTTCCCTTAGATGTAGTCCCTGAGTGGAAATCTGACCCCCTTCATCTTGAGAGGAAAGCCAGCTCCCGCACTCACACCAGATCCTATAAAGCACAGACGACTCACTGACCAAAGTTCCTTATTCTCTTGCTATTGGCTAACGCTGTTCATAAAATATAATTTGCTGTTTCACTTCTCTTTGAAACAAGCAAGCTGAATTACTTGGAGGAGGAAGACAGCAGAGAGGAGACAGAAGCCAAGGCAGCTGAGAGAAAGCAAACTCAGGTGAGCACTTTTATCTTCGCTTTGTTAGCTCATTGTGAAGAGTTACACTTTGCTTATCACTTCACAGTCAGAAGAATACTTTTTGAAAAGTAGGTTTATTTTGTAAAGTTCATAAAAGTAAGTTGTCTTATAAACTTTTTTCTACCATATACATGGTAGTTTAAAAAATACTGGGAAGCTACAAAAAAGTAGAAGGAAGCAAAAACCACCACTGAGATAGTTTCTATTGATATTCTGGGGTATTTCTTTTCATTCTTTTTTGTGTGTCTGCATGTGATTTTAGTTGATTTTCATAGTTGTGCTCATATACAATGAATATGTTTATGTTTCTTTTTTCTATTAGAGCATATATTTTTCCACATTGCTGTAAATGCTTCATAATCATAATTTTAAATTACTGCATAATATTGCATCGAAGAGATTCAATATACTTGAGCCACGCATTCCCCTAGTTTGGGTCATATGGCATCTTCCTTATTTTTCATAGACGGAGGCATTTGATTATGTAAGATAAGCTTTCTTCATTCAGGGTCTTGTTCTTTGAGGAGAGGAGGTGAAATTTGAGAATGCAGATTTCTGTGTTTTTTGTCAGAGGCACAATGGGAGGGAAGGAGTGTGTAAGAACATGGGCTTGTATTCTGCTTACCACCTCTTTGGGTCCTCAGTCAGTGATTCTCATCTCTGGCTGTACATTCTGGCAGAATCAGCTGATTCTGAGGCGATTAGAAAGTTACCTTTAGAATACTTGAAACTTCACTTTTGGTGATGAGACAGTCATCTATAGGTTTTGGTTTTCTTTTTTAACTTTCAAAAATTTCCCAGGTGGTTCTAACGGGTGTCAAGCATAAAAGCAGCTGACCTAGGTTATCTGAAATAGTCTCCTGTCTCTGACACATACCTGAGAGTAATACATTTTAAGGGAAAGGGAGATACACTATCAGGAAAGCCACCCAAATCTCCCTTTTAATACTGTATAAATAATGCAAGGGTAATTTGTGGGAAACATAAGACGTCTAGAAATTTCTGTCATCTACCTCAGCCTCATAAACTCTTGAGATGAGAATTCACTTACGAGTTTCAATTTACTAATGCATTAAAGAGATGAATTTATTTCCATGCACTGGTGGTTAGATGTTAGAGAGGTGGAGATTCCAGAATGTTCTAAAAGTAGCCAAATTAAGCCCAGCATCTGTTCATGTTCTGCCAAACTAGCCAGACTTCCTTTCATTTGCAGACTCTTCCAGGACAAAACACAAGGTGGGCATTTAACAGCTGACCACTGCTGTTCAATTTTATTCATCGGTATGTCTACATAACTGAGTACTCTTTTAACCATTAACATGACATTGATGTTATTAATTGGCACAGAAATTAGTGCCATGATTAATTGACACAGAAACTGGCACATGATTTAGTGATAAGAAAAAAGCAAGGTACAAAACAGCATTAAAATATGCACTCATTTTTGCTTAAAAATATGTATAGTTGAAGAAAGATGAAAGGAAGCAAATGCACAAAAGTTTGTTTATGTCTGATTGTTCGTAAAGCTTGTAATTTAAGCTTATGTCAGCGAGGCAGGGGTTGAGGTAGAAACAGAATCTCCAAATAAGGCTATCCTGTAGGCAACTAGAAATGCAGGACCTGGAGCTCAGGCTTAAACTCTCCTGGTCTCAGGGATTTTTTTTTTATATGTAAAATGGAGATAATAATGCAACTCATCCTACCCAAAAGATAGCCAGGTGGAACAGATGAGATAACAGAAGAAAATTCTTATAAAAATAAATTTTAAATAATAATAAAAAGTATATTAAAAAAGAAAATTCTTTGCAAATTTTAAGGTGAAAATATGATATTTTCAACATATAAAAGGCCTGTCGGGGAGTCGGAGGCAGAGAAGGTGAGCTAGGACCTCGGTGGGGCTCCAGTGGGTGTCCACTCGCCACCAAAAAAGAGCTGATAGTGGACTCAGAAGAGCTGAGCAGTCAGAAAATGAAAAACCGTAAGTCGTCGGGGCTACAGAAATCAGAGGAGAGAGGGTTACAAAGACAAGACATGAGGATCCTCCTCTAGGATGATTGAGAAGGAAGTTTGAGAAAAGAGCAGTAGCACCAACCGCTAGGCAGGAACAAACAACCTTATCCTGGTTTTGTATGATTCAGAGAGGAGGTGAGGCTGGACCATGGCAGCTATTGCTGTAGATGAGGAAGAGGAAGACGAGAAAGAAATGACAGCACCGAGCCCAGTGATTCAGGGAGTTTAGGCGTGAAAGGACAGGGAAAAGTAGAGGCTTGACAGGTCACAGACTTTGGTAGGAGAAGAGGAATCTGGTGTTTGGTTGATCAGCTGCACTGCATAGTGGACATATTCTTCCATTTATGACTCAAAACAATCTTAAGGGACTATCTTTATTAGCCTCCTTTTAAAGGTGAGGCAGCTACACCTCAGAGAGTAAGGGATGAACAGCTAGAAAGTAGGAGGGTTGGGGGAGTCAAGTTTAGTGCAAATTCTACACCAGCCTGGTTCAAGTGTACGATCGACAGAGGAAGAGAAATGAACAGAAGAGACTGAAGTCGTTGGAGGGAGATGGGCTGAGATTAAGAATCAAGGTGTCTCCAGAGAAAAGACATGCATCTTCCCTCCCCGACATCCTCTAGCAGCAAACCCTTCACAGAAGCCGAGTTGGTATGTCCTCTCCCCTCACAGTGGTCACTTCATCAACCGCTGCTCCTTCCTCAACTTCCCAGCCATGGGCTGCCTCTGAGCACAGGTAACCTTATTGCTAAGTCTCTGGATACTTTTTATCCCCTCTGACCACTCCCTCCTCCTTAAAACAGTCTTTCTCTTGGCCTCCTTGACCCTGCGTCCTTGATTCATCTCTTATCATCTGGCCAGTCTTTCTCAGTCACCTTTCTAGGCTCCCGTTCTGTCTGTCTCCAGACCTAGGCTTGCCTCCTTCCAAACTGTCCTCCATCGGCTTAAAATACAAATCTGCTTCCCACAATCAGAGGGCTCTCATTGCTCTCCGGATAAAGCCCAACCCCCTTAGTATGGATATAGGCCAATCTCAGACCACCCGCTACCCACTTGGTCTTCCCTTTCATGCTTCACCGAGACCATCTTACTTGCAGTTCCCCAAACGTGCCCTGTGCTCTCGGCAACATGACTTCATACACCCTGTTCCCCTGTCTGGAACCCCTGACCCACTCTCCTTAGCCACCCTTTCCCCTCAGTACTTTAAAAACCTCTCCCTTGCTCGCTGAGGCTGTCTGGGGTCACTCCCCCAGGTTCCTACTCAACTCTTCACATTTCCTTCTGATAGCCCTTCTCACCTCACTTTGCCTATCAACTTCTCACCTCAAAAAGAACTCTGTCTACTGACTTGTCTGATTTATCCACCATCCTGGAGGTTTCCTTCATTGTCATGTCCACAGGGTCTAATCAGCGTGGCTCAGAGAGAGCAGGATGGCGTTGTGACTGAGACCCGATGGGGTTC